TAATACAACTTTGGGGGTCTGGTAGTCAAGGCGCTGGGCAGATGGATAAGCAAACCGTCATAGAGATTTGGCGTTATGTCAAAAATGTAGTATAAATCCACTTGAGATACGGCATGTGACCAGAGATAGACGTCCACAGTTTGCTCAGGTAACACGGGTTTAATAAAGGAGACGACCCATGACGGCAATACCTGATGTCTGCAGGCACGGGAATGACAGTCTAGGCGCTCTGCTCGGTGAGGCGGCAATGTCCGCGTTTCTAGGCCCTTGAGAAATAGTGTCTGGAGTAAAATGCACACTAAGACTGGAACCGAGTGAAATCGGTCAACCAGAAAGAAAAGGAACAGATCTACGAGACAATGAGGCCGATCCGAGTCGGATTATCCGATCAAAGGAGAGGGGTTCGCGGTGACTAGCAAGTGTGATGAGGCCACATTAGATTTACCACAAACGGGCACGCATTTTGACGAGTGAAATGTAAATAAATCAAAAGTTGTGATAAGGCGAGAGTAGGATTAGAGGGTAAAGAGTTGAGAGATGGGCCAGGACAGAAAGAGGAGTGATGGTGTAACCGTTTTCGGCAGAACATTTGTGGAAGGATCGACTTCACTTGTACCTTTGACGAGTTCGTAGCTTGGTGCAGGGAATGGCAGCACTCACTGATGCTGCCGGTGAAACGTCTAAGAATGTACCAAGTTCACCATCTGATGCTGGGAATTTTGATATCTACTATGGCCGAGGAATTCGGACAAGGTGCGTTCTACTACGTCGCCCTGACAACAAGACCAAGTTTCGTCAACGAGTTCACTCACTTGTATAATTTTACCTCGTTTCTTATTTTTGATCAAACTTAGAAGCCTCAACTACTTACTGTATATTTTACTAGCTTAATGCTATCCTCTTTCAGTTTCGGACCTCTGAGCACTCACTTACCCTTAATGATAGATGAATACCAATAATAATGTTGTATCTCTTTAAATATTTATTTCACCGCCTCATCACCTTTCTTGCTCTTTCTCATTTTCTTTCCTTTCCTCTCTACTCTATCCTGCCAAAGATTTTCTGCCTGCTTCATTCCATAACCTCCATCTATTGAGTTCCTTTCCGTATGTCTGGTAATGACCATTCCTGTAGCCATAGTTACCCGTAAATGTTCTTGTGCCTCTGCTCGTATGCAACTATATTTATGCATCCATTAGTCTGTCCGTCAGTTAGTTCGCCCATGTAATATTGAATTGCTTGTATATTATGCTTTGTTCCAGTCTTACACTCTAAAACTTATGTAAATCCTAGGCCTTTTTCATCTTATGGTCTCTGGTAATCA